CAACAGTTGAGACAGTAAGCGAACTTGAGGCCCCTTGCGCGGCTTCGCTGGGGTTGGGAAGTTTTGACCAACTCAGCTTGGAGGAAGTTGATAGGGTGCTCGCAGCTGTGCGTCCAACCACTTGCAGCCTGGATCCGTGCCCCTCCTGGCTCATTAAAGCGGGCCACGAGGGGTTTCGAGGTGCCTTGAGGGAGATAATCAACAAGTCCCTGTCAGAGGGGCGGTTCTCCGAGGCACTCAAGGAAGCGATGGTCCGCCCTCTCCTAAAAAAGCCAACGCTGGACCCGGCCGAATTGGCCAGCTATTTGGGCAAATTGATTGAGAGGGCGGTGGCAACACAGCTGCAGGGCTTCCTAGATGACACCTCCGTCCTCGACCCATTCCAGTCCGGCTTTCGCCCTGGGCATGGAACGGAGACTGTACTGGTTGCCCTTACTGACGACCTCCGTAGACATCTGGATCGAGGCGGTGCGGCGGCACTGTTGTTAAGACACGTGTTGAAGGCTCGCGTGGCGCGGGGGGGGGGGGGGGGGCAGAAGATAGCCTTCTAGTGTGCAAAAAAACCCTGGCACCGGCCCTGCTTTTATTCTGTTTGCACAATCAGGCTGACTCAAACAATAGTCACTTAAAGGAAGTAGTAATTTGTTTAATCTATGTTACTATTATGACTACAATTTAAAGCCACAATTGAAGAACAAAACCTGTACTTGCAAAAGGTTCAGCATTTGGCTTTAAAATTACTTAGAACCATGGCCCCAAACTAATATGGGTTACATTATCCTAAGAATACACCATACATGTGAAATAATTATTCTAAGCTATGTTAGTAAGAAAGGTAAAGATGATATTCAGTTTTTAAAAAATATCTGGCTTGGCCTGGCTATTACAACCTCAGTTACAACCATGAGCAACATATTTTTATAAAACATTACTAAAATTTGTCACTGCACACAGGGTACAACAGAACTTGGCTCCCTTGTGGTTTTGGCGTATCCATCTGGGGAGATAAAGCTTGGCTTGGAAACTGTGCTTTCAGACTCAGGGGCTATTGTTGCCGATTTTCTTTGATCAGCTACAAAATGGAGGAGAGGGTTAGTTTATAAAAGGGAAGAGCTGAATGAGCTAACCCAAAGGGAGGTCTCAAGAATTGGGAGAGGGTGATAAAAAGAAGTTAAAATTGTATTTTACAAGGTCATACACCACTTTGAGGGCTTTACAGTCAAAAAGTGAGATCAAAATCGTCTTGCGACCCCGGGCCTTAAAGAGGCCAGGCTTGCTGCCACAAGGGCCAGGTCCTTTTCGGTGGCGGCTCCTAACTGGTGGAATGAGCTCTCGGAGGAGATCAGGGCCCTGCGGGACCTGTTACAGTTCCGCAGGGCCTGTAAGACGGAGCTCTTCCGCCAGGCTTTTGAATAGGAGCCGCCGCCGCTACCACTACCACCAGCGGGGGCCTGTATAGCAGCACCGCCGGATGAGGCGGAGTGGCCAATGAACATCGGGGGGCCACAGTAGCCTCCCTCTGGATTTAAGGGCATGTGCAATAGGGAGAGAGGGTGTCCTTGGGCGTAGCCCATTGTACCTAACTGTTTTAATTTGTTTTACTGTGTTTTTATCGCACTGAGTGTCATACTGTTGTAAGCCGCCCTGAGCGGCACGCGGGGAGGGCGGGGTATAAAAAAAAATAAATAAAATAAATAAATAAACAAACCCTGACTGTTCCCTGGAAGGCCAGAGACTGAGGCTGAAATACTCTGGCCACTCAATGAGAAGGGAACATTCACTGGAGAAGATCCTGATGCTGGGAATGATTGAAGGTAAAAAAAGAAAGGGATGGCAGAGGATGAGATGGTTAGACCATGTTATCGATACAACGAATATGAAGTTGAGCAAACTCCAGAGGACGACCGAGGACAGGAGGGCCTGGTGTGATGTGGTCCATGGGGTCGTGAAGAGTCAGACTCGACTGACTGAACAACAACATAAACACCCCTACGTACTCTTCCCTATGCAATATGTACAATTCACTAGACATGTACCTCCACACAAAAGATCTGCCCAACATGGATCCCATTACTTTGCATCTGTTGAAGTGGGCTCTAGTCTCCAAACATTTAGGCTGGAATAAAATCTTGCTGGCATTTAAGGCACCACTAGCCTCCTGTTTACTCTGCCTGCAAGAGTATCTTGGCTACCTGTCTGGAATTATTCCTATGAAATGCTTCCACTTTTACCCTGTCCATAAAGAGAATGAAATGGGCTCAAATGTAACCAGGGAGTCTTTTCAAAGTCTATGGTTCCGGTCTACATCCACACAGAAAGTGGAGACATCTGTCCTCATTGAGCTTATACTAGCAACCCCTTCAAGTCATCTCCAGCTAGAGTGTACCATGTTTCTCATGCCACAAGAGGTCACTGTTGCCCCTTCATTCTACTGTCTTTACTGGATACTAGAGACCATCTCACTATATAGCCTGAGACTCCTGGAAAATGTACCTTTGATGCTTGGCATTTAATGTGCTAAAATAAAAGTGTGAGGATTTGATAACTGCATAAAACAGCAAGTAATATAACCACAGACAAATAGAAAAGCAAGGTTAAAAAGTGTATCAGATTTCTAAAGTATTACATCAGAGACCCACCACTAATTGTTTAAAGTCTTGTAACTGTGATACGAAGCATATGGTTTATGTACAGTCATTAAGGCAAGCTTCCATAAATCAAGAGAATTTTCATTTTTAAAGAATGTTCAAATTTAGGGTGAAAGACAAGACTATCCAACTGTCCAAAGGACAAGAAAATTAAAGGGGGGGACACTCTTTAAAAGGTAGACATAATGATATTAAGAGCTTAATTGGATTTATAAACCTGGCTGGGAATACAACATGACTAAGATTTCTCCTTAGCTGGTTTTCTGCTTAGTTCAGAAGCATCTTCAAATACGGAAAAGTCGCATGTGCATGTACATGCCCACTTAATGTGTTTTTCACACGACGGCAATTATAGTAGTTATAACATCCAGATTACAAGCTGTCATAGTCCTGCTGTGAGCTGCATTAGTCAGGCTGCACCTGGAGTATTCTGTGCAGTTCTGGAAGCCTCGCTTCAAAAAGGATGCGGACAGAATGGAGCGGGTGCAGAAGAGAGCGACAAAAATGATCAGGGCAAGACCAAGTGCCCTTTGAGAAAAGGCTGAAGGACTTGGGAGTGTTCGGTCTGGAGACGAGGATGTTGGGGAGGGGACCTGATTGCTCTCTTTAAGTATCTGAAGGGCTGTCACTTAAGAGGAGGGCAGGGAGCTGTTCCTGTTGGCAGCAGAGGATAGGACTCGCAATAATGGTTTTAAATTACGGATGGAAAGATACCAGCTGGATATTAGAATTTTTTTTAGAGTAAAAGTATTTCAGCAGTGTAATCTGCTGCCTAGGGAGGTGGTATATCCCCCTTACTGGCAGTCTTCAAGCAACAGCTGGACAAACACTTTTCAGGTGTGCTTCAGGCTGAACCTGCATTGAGCAGGGAGTTGGACTAGATGGCCTGTATGGCCTCTCCATGATTCTAAGTCCTGTAGACTGCAATTACTTAGTCCTGGCTTACTAAAGGTGCGTGTGTTTGTTCTCCCCCTGTCTTTGTTCTGAACGCTGATGTTTTATATCCAGTCACTAAGACTACTTGTAGCTGTGCTTGTGCCCAGTGTAGACATAGCTCTGCCAGTCTCCACCAGGGCTAAGAAATGAGGAACTGGCCATGGGCTTACCTGGTTCCCCTGTGATGCGAATTCTCTCTTCTCATGCCTTCCAACTCTCCAATTCTAGATCGGTACTGGAGACCAGGATTTCTAGTACTGAAGGGTACTGCATGCAGCTAATGGCAACATAGCTCAATTTCACCAAGGCAGGAATCCTTACCGCAAACAGTCTTAACAAATTAATCTGTAGAATCAAAGGATACACCTCAAGACTGCACTGTTAATTAATGTGCCATCAACCGAGCAAGACATACTAGATGTACATCACCAAGGTGGTTGTGGAACATGGAATTTTTCGCAAACATAACATGCTGTACCTGCTGCCCATTTTGTAGAGAATCTGATGAGCAAAGAGTCCATGCTTCTACATATTGCAAGTGAGATTCTGAGCTCATAAGCAAAAATAGCCATTAAGGCCCATGTTGAAAAAGAACATTTCTCTACAATTGAACTAGTCCATTGCTGCACCCCTTGGGGCAAGCACAATGGAAGTCTTTCTTACATCATGTAGTTCATTTTGCAAAGGAGAGACAGACAGAGAAATTGCTCCATATTTAAAACAGTATTAAAATGAGTAAAACAGTAAAAGTATATGAACGGTGGAAGAATTTAACCTCCCTGCCTTGGAGGCTCTGTAGCCCTTCGGAAATGGACTCGGAGGTCCCAGTACTGGGTGAAGATGGACATCGTAAGAAAGAGAATCCACGGTGCATTCTTTGCCTGTGGTGTGAGCCTAGCTTCCCTCTTGGCTCCTCATAGCAACCCCCATAGGGTTTTCAAGGCTATGCCTCTGCATAGCATTCCTTGGCCGTCTCCCACCCAAGTACTAACCAGGGCTGCTCCTGCTTAGCTTCCGCCTGGCCTCTACAGGTCAGGGTTCAACAGCCCATACATGCCTGCAAACAGACCACAACTTCAATGGTTAAGAGTTTCCTTTCCCCTCACATTCTCGGCAGGCTGGTCCATTTCATTTTTGGAACTACCTCATATACATTTATGTACTCATTTATCAATTCATTGCTTTTTTTTAAACTGGATTAAGTGAAAAAAATTCCTTGGGGACAGAGGGTGACATTTCTCAGCGATATTCTCCCAAGTGTGTTATGTCTACATATTGACACTGGGGCAAGGAGTAACTTCTGCTGACAAACTATTTTCTTCTTTTCTATACGACTATAACTTTTCTATACTACCAGCTTGGCAGCCGCCAACCCCCAAAAACATGAAGGAAGGCTTGGAAAGAGGCAGGAAGTGGGGTGGGGGAAAGACTTTGGAAGTTTATTCTTTGATAAAATTTCAACTGAAAGTGGTGGACTTTGCAGTTAACATTTTTTCCCCTAAATGCACAAAAATCTATTCACAGGGAGGTCTGAGCTTACTCTAAGACATTAAATTAGAGCTACATGAGAGCGACACAGAAAATGAAGTTTCTATTCAAGGGGCAAAGTCCAACAATCATTTTGGTAAAGCAATGGCCCATTCTGGTTAATGAGTTCAAAGAAAAAGAAATCTTCCTATACAAAATTACAATACAGAGAACGCGTACAATTACAATACAAGAAGGGCTATTTGTTAGTAACTAGCATCTAGAACAGAATTTTTTTATAATAAAAACACGTAGAAATTAAAATCAAGTTGCTATTTTTCTTTCTTAAATTGGAAAAAAAATGGAGACAATCCCAAAGTTCATTCAAGAGACACTTTTCAGACTCTTAAGCATAAAAGTGATATTTCTTTTTTTTTTTTTCTTTTTAAAAAAGGAATTTGGTTTGGTAAATGAAGCCAGTTCCTTTACAGCCCAAAAGGGCAGAAGCCAGAAGAACTCAAGCACGTCATGCCGAGAGGTAGAGAGGTGTCCATATATAATCACAATCTTCTATTGGTTTTCTTCTTTTTTTTTTTTTGTCTGAGGTAATTAGCTGTGTGTGTCAAGTTGGAGAATCAAAAATATTGGCAAAAAAAAAAGAGCAACGTTGACGAGTTACACTAATGACCTCTTTCCTCTCCTCAAACAGGTCCTAAAAATTTAGTTAGATGCATCGGAATTAATGCTTCCGGGATCTCCGGCAGGTGAAGTGATTGATGAAGGGGTAGTTGCGTCCTGCCAGCTGCCATTCGCCTGAAGAGGGAATAAACGCATTGTGTTAAGTCCATCGGGTGTTACTTGCATCCTAAACCCATTTTGATTATGAGTTTCCGTGTCACAACGGGAGAACGTTAAGCCAAGTATGAGACATGCACCGTGTTCCGTAAGATTTAGGCTCGGAGCAAAACTCACAAAGCGACACTGCAGTTCACTTTCCGGGGCACGGAAGGCAAAGTACTGTGTAAAATGCTGATTCCACTGCCTTTGTTTCGCAGCTTCTCCTGTTTCCCCAAATGGGGCTCCATTGCTCTTGTCCAACTTCTACTGCTAACTTGTTTAAATAGGAAAAGAAACCTATTGTGCTTGTGAATTAGAATTATCGAACAGAGCAAGGGATAGAACTGCACAGGTGCCCTCATATACTTTTTCAGTTCCCAACTGCAGATTTGGGGATAGGTCCCAATCCATGGCCACTTGATGGATTTCACTGTAGACTAGTTCTGCGCTCTGTATGTTGCAGTCTCTTCCTCCAACCGGCAGCTCTCTCCTCCAATGGGAGGGGAGAATGGAAGTAAGGCAGCCTTTCCTTCTAATCCACTGAGCTGACTGGGGGTGGGTAGATAAGCTGGCTTCTCTCTCTGACCATCCCTAACCAATCAGGGGTCTGGTCTTCACAGTACCATGACTGATACAGAGAAGGGCTTCCCTTATAGTCTAAAGAGCAAGGGCTTTTTAAAAATTCTTAGTCCCTAGAGTGGCAGAGATTAGCAACAGACTGCCTATTGCCCCTCTCTCTTTGGAACAGCACTGCGTGATCGGCAAAGTGCTAGCAAACATTAACGCTGAAGCAGAGTTTCATTCGAGCATCTGCAGAGGTGGTAATGGAGGGTATGTCTGTAGGCATGTCTGAATTCTGGGGCTCAAGATAATTTTGTGCTCAAAATCAGAAGCTCCTTACGTCAATGCGCTGCGTCGAATATAGAGGGTTCCCCACGATGCTGTCATATCTTCCTGCCTGGTGTATGACATGGTGTAAGGAATCCATCTGCAACAATACAACCAGATTGGCAAAAAAAATTAAAAAGCAATTAAAAACCTCAAACGGTTCTGAAGATGCTTCAGAGCCACTGCTTAAAGCTCCACTACCCCATCTCCCTTTATGCAACCCTCATAAGACCAGAAACATTGTCTGGTGCACTGGCAGGTCCCAGCTACAACCCAAGTCTGTATCCACTTTCTACATTTCTGCAGCACTGTGACCACCCTGTGTGTCATGTACAGAGGGCAGAGTCCACCATAAGAGTGGGCAGAACTACTGTGATGAGGATGGATGAACCTTAAGACACAGCAGATTGAGAAATGAAATGGGGGCGATGGCCCAAATACCTCCACTCTGGAATGTGTGGTACAGCCCACATCCTCCATGACTGACATACATGCCACACAGCCAGCAATACCAGAGACGTAGAGTGAATGCTACCATACACCCTGGAAGCTGGGACATTCAGTTCTGGCTCAGCAGCAGTTCTGGCCCAAGGTGTGGCTGCTGATACCACTACAGTGATACTGCCACGCACGCTAAGGAGGACGCTAAGGGTGCAAGCATGTCTTGGCAGTTCTCTGGATCCCTCTAGGCGCAGGCTCAACATACCTGAAACAGCCTTCATACCTATTCTGGCGTTGATCTTTTTAACGCATGTGTGTATGGTCACATGACTCTACCTTCTCACACATGGCATCATAAACAAACACTATTGGTTAGGGCTACAGAAATGAAGGCCTAGAAAAAAGGGGGGGATGAGAAATCTGGAAGAGTGCTGAAAAAACCCCTATAAAATAGTTGCATTTTTGCAATGACTGAAATGCTTCTTAAGATGAGGTTTCTCATTCAAAATGTACTGAATGGAAAAAAAACTGAGAACTTGTTTCAATTTTTCCAACAGAAGAATATGGAAATTTTGGAGACCACAGGGAAAAAAAACTTGTGTGAAATATTTTCTCTTCTAGAATGAGTGACGTGCTTTTTACACTAGATTCTACTCTAAATGTATAGTATGAAAATTTGTATGTAAGAGTCTACAGCCGTAGAGAATAATAGCTATGAATACTGTAGACATATTTTCAATAATGTTTTTGTTCAAATGTAAATAACATTGACAACAATTAATATGCAATGTGTTTAATGATATGTGATTAAAGAGATCAGTGTTGACGATATTATAAAGATTAAGCTGATATCCAAATATGCTGGCAGTCCTAGCTATTGTGATTGTTTGAGGAAACTGCTGTCCAAATAATACTTTCATTTACCACAGAATTTGTTTTCGGATTTCAACTTTCCTTTCCTACCTCACACATGGTGAAAATTAAGATACACATGCTAAGGAAGCATAGGGTGCAGCATTTTGCAACTCTTTTCAAAGTACTAGGTATATTAGCAATTTTTCTTATAGAAAATGAAGTCATTTATACTTTTGAATTCCATAAATATGCCAAATATGTTAAATAATGCATTTTTAAGATGTTAAATGGGTATAATTAGTTTAGGTTTGACAGGAAAGTAATATTGCATATATTTCAAATCCCCGCCCCCAAATTTCCATTTTTCCAGGGGGGGAAAACGTAACAAGAAAAATATGTTGTTTTTCTTCTGTGGCTTCAAAATTTCTGGATATATTACATCTCTGGCCAAGCTCACTTCCAAACTCCTTATAACTTCAGGATAAAACAATACAACCTTCAGTCTTTCCTTGCTTAAGCCAGCACAAGGGTGATTTAGATAGGACAAACTACACGGCAAACCACAAATTTATTATGAAATGATCACTCTCCTCGTAAATAACTCCCACAGGGGCTGTCCCTCTTGCAACATTCCCAAGCAACCTTAAATTCCAATAATCAATAAAAATCGGTTTTTGAACACATGGACTGACAATAGTGTTGGGGGGAGGGGTGTCACACAAACTTCTCTGCACACCCACCTGTGACTGCACATTGGCTCCCACTGGCGAGTTCTGGTAGGAAGTGAGTGACTGCAGGTTTATAAAGGAATCTCCAGAATTTGTCATTTTAAATGACCCAGAGGAACCTGAAGAGGAAAAGAAGTTACCTAAGGGCATGTCCGCACCTGCTCATTGTTGTGACAAAGAAAACAGCACAAAGAACTATTGTGTTTCACACCCGATCTCGAGATTTATCACTAATTGTCTTTGTGTAGTGTTCCACATCTGAACGCTGAGTGGGTAGTGGCTGACTGTGCACAGCCCTAGCGATTTCACAATTGTGTCTCCAGGTCCCTTGCCCTGTTTTCAGACTGTGCTCCAGAGAACACTGGGGTTCCTTGGAAAGCTAATGGGGATTCCTCGATGCAAAGATCAGTTGTGAAAGACAAACTTCTCTAGAAGACAACGCTCCTGCCGCTATTGATCTTCCCTTGCAACATACATCACCTCACACTGACAACAGTGAGGCCCGAAAAGCCAAAGCCCCATTGAATGGAGTGAGCACCCTAAAATACGCCTGGCAATACTTGCAACACAGGTCGGTTCCAGGGCAGATCTGCAGAGGGCCTGCAACACACCAACCGAAATGAAAAGGGTTCCCTCCAAGACTGAATCCTGTGCACCTTTAGCATCAAAGTTATTAGGTGATGAGTACCCAACTGCACAGGTTCATCATCGTTTTAAACAAACAAAAATCCCAACTGCCTCAAGGACAGTTTCAAGACAATGATGCACGTAGGTGTATGGGGAAAGCATAAAATTCATACCGGGAAAAGGGGACAAACGGAAGTGAAATTAAATGTGACATGGAGCAGTGTGAAGACACATCCTTATGTGAAAGAACAGCAGCCTCCAGTGGGTGAAGAGAGATTAAATAAAGCAATTCTATCTCCCAGTGGAGTTCAAGCAAACTATTGTTCTTTGCCGGAAACTGAAATTACTGAAGAAAAATAATTTGGGCTTAGATCCTAAAATGCCATCCCGTCAGCCCAAGGGCAGTTCCTCCAATGGAATGACAGTTTTGTTTTCAAAGGGTGAAGAATTTTGGTTGATTCTTTCCTCCTCCTCCTGCTACAGATTTCCTCTCCGCCCCCCCTTCCAGGGGGTCCACTGACCCACAGAAGCACAATGGGGGGGGGGGCACAGAAAGCTGCAGTGGCAGGAGGAGGAGAACGCAGGGAAGTTGCCATCCTCAAGTGCAACTCCACTAGCCCTGCTTAGGATATGAGCCTTAGTAAACATGTCTGTTTCTTTTTAGATAATTGTTTGTGTGTCCAGATGTCAGTCAAGCCCGTCAAAGAAGAAACACACATGTTTATTAAGATCTTTTTCTCTCGGGATTTCAATTAGCAACATGCCCTTAAAGAAGAACAATTTGTTCAAAATGTGCAGGGAGCTGGAATAGTTTAATCAATCTTGAGTCAACCAGAAGAACGACTCACGTGCTGTCTTTGTGTTGCTAGACCCATAAGCAGAACAACTATTGCAAGGTTCTCAAATGGCATAAGATGGCAAAATGATTGCAAAAGTAAAACCAGAAGAATTTAGACATATAATGAAGTTCTAGGCAACCTTCAAACGGGGCCTGATAAGCCACTACACTTCAGCAGCCTTGCTGATTTCAGAAAACTGCAGCAGAAGTTTTTCCGCTGTGCACAGCTTCACACGCTGTTTCAGATGCAGCCTTTCTGTACTCACCAGAATTTGGGGTGGGTGGAGAGCTTGCCTGGTTGCCCTGGGCTACCACATTGGTTGCATCCACAGCAGTTTTGGCTGCGTAGATGTTAGCCTCTTCTTGGAATTTCCCCATATTTTTTTTATACCGGATTCTCTTGTTACCAAACCAATTAGAGACCTGCAACAAGAACTTCAGTTAAGGCTTAGTCAATGCTATCAACACAAGGCAAAGATGTTATCAAACAGAAATATTTCAGGGCACTAAGCCAAGTGTTGACACCAACAACAAAACTGCACCTCCTTTAGTAATGGCATGAGATGATGCCTCTCTTTTAATACATAGATACACTCTGTGTGCCTTAAGGTGGTTTTGCCTCAAATCAATACTGTACAAGATGCAGTGGAAATATAGGCCTCCCCTCTCCTTTCCCAAATCAGATATTTCATTTGAAAGATACAGCATACTAACTGCTCAGATAGAGGACATCTCCAGTTTCTCCTTTTCCCTCCAGTCTGGGGTCTAGGCCCTGTAGACTGCCAGGAGCCAGGGCCAATGGGACATCCCCTTGGGTCTGAGCAAATCCTGCCTCACCCTCCAGCCCCCTCTAAAGGAGCTTGCTTCCAGACTGTTTTGGCCTAGTGAGGCAGGGACTGTCTGTTCCCTCTTCCACCCTACCAGGTGCTCATTCCTGGACCTGTCCTCCCTGTCTGGGCCTTCTCTGTATCGGGCTGGGTCTCACCCTGCCTTAGGGTTGCCAGTCCCCAGGTCCTGGCGGAGGTTCCCCTGATTTTGGGGGCTTCTGTTCGCCGCCGGCCAGCTGGCTGGCAGGGGAAAACCTGCCTCCAAACAGTGGCGTCATTGAGCAACGTCCGCAACACGCTCGCCCAAAAGTGATGTCATCATATCGGGAATATCACGCAGCTACGCTCTGGTTTGAAGGCAAAACTCTATGGTTTGAAGCCGGTTTTACCATAGAGTTTTGCCCAAAAACCAGAGTGTCGCAATGCAATGTCCCTGGTGTGATAATGTCACTTATGAGTGATGTCATCGCATCGGGGATGTCCCGGAACACACCGCAAATCCCCCTGCCAGTGCAACAAGGGGAGCTGGCAACCCTACCTTGCCTCCTTTGCTGTTGCCATGCCCAACTGAGGCCTTGGTGCGTTGCTGGGTGGCTCTCTTGGCTGGGCTGCCTTCAGCCAAGTTGGTAAGTGTGATGACATCACATCCAAACAACTAATCAAGGTTCCACCAGCTGGGTACACTTGTTTTACATATTTCATCAATAAAGGCAATGTAGTAAGTTAAAATGGTGCACCATACATTTAATTGATGATAAAGTTCTATTTTGCACATGTGACGACTTAAAAAATTGTTCCAACTTTATCTACCCAGCTTTAGATCTTTTTACACAATAATTTGCACAATAATGTGAAAATAGGTGTGCTGGAAGTAGCTTCCACCACAATGTGCATCCCACCTGTGAGACTGTGATGCCTCCTTTCTTGGCTAGCTCTTCTTTGGCTTCTTCACTGGGATAAGGATTACTCAGGTGAGAATAAAAATACTCATTCAAGACTTCTGTCGCTTGCTTGCTGAAGTTACGCCGCTTACGCCTGGGAACACAGTGCAATTATTTGCTCTGCTGATGTTAGGATATTTATTTTTATTTATATTTATTTATTTACATTTTTGCCCCGCCCTCCCCGCGAACGGGCTCAGGACGGCTCACACAGGGGCGTAAGCCCATACATAAAACAATATAAAACAGTAAAAACCATTAAATCACAACAACAGATAAAGTGCTCCATGCAGACAAGATGGTCTGAGGATGGTTACAATCATTTCCTTAGGTGAAATTGTCCTGTCGATGGTCCAAGCCAGTCCAGCAGCATCAGTGCCATGCAAATTTATGGCCGTTCTTCTGGGGACCACTCCCAACCCCATTGTTTCAGTGGTGGTAGTAGTAGAAGTGGTGGCCCCTATATAAAAGCCTGGCGGAAGAGCTCCGTCTTGCAGGGATACATTATACTTTCAGCCCAAGGCTGGATGGAGAGTAACTGAGGATCCCAGGAAAGGATATACCAGTTTAGGCAGGTTGTTCAAGCAGTATCCCTAGCATGGGTTCTGGCACTGGAGACTATCACTTATAATGGCATGTGTAATGTACGTTTTCCAAGACAGATGTTAAGTTGAAACAAAAAGCATACAGTGTTTAAAAAAATCATACATAATATTTTCAAGGTTTTTATTTAAATGTGAATAATTTTGGCAACAATTAATATGCTGTAATGCAGGGGTCGTTTCGTAGAAAAAGAGCTAGGGGAACTCATTAGCATAACTCAGTAGCATATGCCACACCCCCTGACATCATCGGAAGTGTGTCATAAGGCCACTCCCCCTGACATCATCAGAAGTGTGTCATAAGGCCACACACACCACCCCCAACGGTCCCGGCCGCTGCCACCGGCCTTGCAGCTCCACTGCCGAGCCCCATGAGGGGCCCGGCGGTGGACCTGCAAGGCCGGCGGGAGTGCAAGGAAGCCCCGCGAAGGCCCTCCCTGGCCCCAGGCAGGCAGGGGTGGGGAGAGGCAGGGAGGAAGCAACTTACCCTCCCTCTTCTCCTGCCTCCTCCTGGCTGAATGAGGGCCAGAAGCGGGGTAATGTATTTAATACATTACTAGAGTTCAGTGTTTTCAACATTATAGAAGAGCAAAGAGTCTAGCACCTTAACGACGAACAACATTTGTGGCAGGGTATGAGTTTTCATGAGTCACTGCTCGCTTCTTTAGATTTTTTTTACCTTGGATAAAACTTCGTTGGTCTCAAAGGTGCCCCTGGACTCAAACTTTGTCCTGCTGCTTCAGGCCAACACGGCTGCCCCACCCGAATCTTTCTTCAGATTTTGTTAGTCTTTAAGGTGCTACTGGACTCTAGCTCTTTTCTACTGCTACAGACAGACTAACGGGACTACCAGTCTTGATCTTTCAACATTATAAAGTTTAGCTTAATTTCCAAACAAGCTGGTGATCCTGCCTATTGTTAGTCCATGAGACAGTTTGCCCGCATAATACACTTCGGCCCCGTTCACACCGAGGATTTGCCACGCTAAAGGCACGAATGATAGGTGGATTTTCGGTGCGCGATCACACCGCAACATCTGGGAAGCGTAGCGCACCCGTAGCCAACCCGTGGCATCCCGCCAAAGATGTGCAGTAAAAAAATACCTCAGAAAGTGCAGTAGTATCCGGAAAACGCACAGCAGGGGCGGGCGTCTGATCGCGGGAACGCTAGTATCCCATGGCTTCCGGCGCCTGTCCAAGTCCCGTCGCAAACCAGATGGTTTTCCTAAGCGCATGTGCACGAACACTAAACTGGAAGCAGTGCTGCTCCGTGGAACTACGCATGCGCACAAACACGGAACGCTTGCCGCATGGCTTCTTTGCCAGCTCCAGCATCACCGTGTGATCGCAAGCTTCGTGCCACAGTGCGAAGACTCGGGAGACAGTGTGATCGGGCTAACGCACTTTATTTCGCCCCGGGGCAAACAGCCACACCTCACCCCCGCGTTATCTGGCCCGTGTGACTGGGGCCTTCCTTTTGTTTACCGTTTTCTTCCTTCTACCCCCAAACTGCAACCTGCTCCTTTCAGGAAGTACAACCCTGTCCAAAACAGGTGAACTCTTGTTCATCTGTTTTGTTGAAAAACAGCACCACATTCACTTTTGGACTGCACTTCAGACTCAGAAGTTGGCAAACTGCTAAGCCCTAGACCAGGGGTCCCCAACCTTTTTGAGCCTGTGGGCACCTTTGGAATTCTGACATAGGGTGGTGGGTGCAACTACAAAATGGCTGCCACAGAAGGCGGAGCCAACCACAAAATGTCAGAGAGTGAGGTCATACATAACTCTAGCGGTAACTCTTCAGCTTTCCAGGCAGACACTCTATTTAACAGGATGCATTTTGAAATGAACATAATTTTTAAAAATATTCTCTTGCATACACAGTTTTTCCCACAGTCATGCAATGAAGATTCTTCTACTGTGGAGGCAGCTGCTGCCAAAGCAACTTTTAAAATATCTGCCCAGACAATCAGATCTCCGATGGCCAATTTTTGCTAGGCAAAAGCCCCACCTGGCCCTGCTCACTTTCTTAAAGCACTCAGAGGGCTCCGGGAAGAAGAAGAGGAGGAAGAGATTGGATTTATATCCCACCCTTCACTACCCAAGGGAGTCTCAGAGCGGCTTACAAACTCCTTTCCCTTCCCCTTCCCACAACAGACACCCTGTGAGGTAGGTAGGGCTGAGAGAGCTCTGACAGAAGCTACTCTTTTTCAAGGACAGTTCTTGGCAGAACTATGGCTTGCCCAAGATCATACAGCAAGTGCAAGTGGAGGAGTGGGGAATCAAACCCGGTTCTCCCAGATTAGAGTCCGCGCACTGAATCACTACACCAAACTGGCTGTGTCAGTAGGCACCATAGGGTCCATGGGCACCACGATGGAGACCCCTGCACCAATACAATGTTCCATCTAAGAAGTGTGCATATACCAACCATTTCATACAGGGATCAGTATCCGCCTGCACAACTAATGCATGGTGTAAGACTGTACAATGCCCTGTGCTGGACATGGTGGGTGCAATGAATCCTGGTCATTCATTACCTTGCATCAAGAAACCGCGAGCGCAGGATCATCACAGCCTCACACGTGCTCTGTTTCAGCTGCATTTGGATGGTGCTGAACTTGCCATGAATTATATTCACCATGCGCTCAATTTCTTTGGGTGAAATTGGCCTTGTCCTACTCTGCTCCCGGAGCAGGTTCATAACGTGGGTAGTGAACTCACTGCAGGCCTGGAAAGAAAGAGATGAGCCCTTTTAACTGAAGAACATACCAAGGTCTCTCAAAATAGCCCTCGTGTTGTAACTGCATTTCGTCCACAATCCAAATGTAAAAATGTAACCATGTGACATCATCAGCAATCTCAAGATTAACACAAGACAGTCTTCTAAGAGATACACAAGACAGTCTCCTAAGAGATACTTTAAATGACTATACTGGATTTGATAATCAGGCATTGACTGCATGATACTGTACAGCAGGGTTCCCCAACCTTTTTTGAGCCTCTGGACATATTTAGAATATGGACAAGGCACGGTGGGCACAGCAACAAAATGGCTGCCACAAAATGGCTGCCACAGGAGGTGGAGCCATCCACAAAATGACTGCCATAGCTTAACTTCAGTAACATAGTGTAGGTCCTTGTGCTGTGATGGAGGCTGCTACCAAAGCAACATTCTAAAAAATCTGCACAGCCAATCAAAACCTCCAATAGTCAATCAGAAGCCCTACCTGGCTCCACCCACTTCCTCAAAACACCTGGTGGGCACCAGAAAATGTGTCATCGGGCACCACAGCACCCAAGGGCGCCACATTGGGGACCCCTGTTGTACAGTGCATGCTAGAGACAGGTCAGACTAGAAAATCAGCACAGTGCCATTGCATTTTATAAATAACAAAGACGTATTTGAGCAGCTCTTGCTCCATTAAACACTCTTGTACACAATTAAGACTCGTAGTATACGATTATATCTACACAAAAATGCCCCTTTTTCACAGGCACAGGAGAGACATGAGGAACATCATTTTACAGGAGCCGTACACAACGTTCAACCCCACAAGATGGTGTCGGCTTCCAGACAAGGAAAGGATACAGTCCATACCAGCCACTTCCTGGGAAAGTGGGGCAGTTCCAAAGAGGAAAGTTACATAAAAATGTTGACTCAAGCGCATTTCGTGCAGCCGAGGCTTAGGCAAGGCCACACTGCTGTAGCAACTTGAAAGCTTGTAAACAGGTAACAGGACTGCAGCTGGAGGTAGAACACCCTGCCGTTTCAATGCCAGCATGACAAATAACATCAATGACTCTTTAAAAAAAAATCATAGAAATACAGTATACTCCCTGCTCTGTGACCGCAAAGGAAAAACGATTAATTGGTTTTTTTTAACGGAGATGATAAAAACTCTTCCATGCAGAAAGATCACCTGTTCATATTTCTCTAGCTCAGAGTGGTATATCTGTCGGATCTGTGACAGCTTGGCCCTGTAGTCTGAGTGTTCAATGCTATTGTCATTTGGACAGCCACCTGATGTTGCTGCTATGGCCGCTGGTCCTCCTCTTCCCCGCTTCTCCGGCCCGGAGACACCCTCAGCCAGCAACATGTTATCTAGTCTCATTAGCTGAGCGTCAGGGGGGTCTTCTTCCTGAATACCTCGGATACTTAACACTGGACAAACATAAATAGGGAGGCAGAAGGTTATTTCAGAAGCAGAGGGATTCAGTTAGCAGTTAATACCCCCCCACACACACACACACATCGCTCTATGTATTCTTTGTGTATGTATAAATATAAGCTGCCATAACTTCAGGTACATTTGTGATGCAGCTGGGCATTCCACGTAACAAAGGCCAATGAAGAGTGCAAGTTTTCTTTTTGCTCAGTAGGTAACTACAAGCTAAAGCGGCGGGACCATTAAAGAGAAACGGGCCAAACCTGTATTGGTAAAACACAATGGGAAGTTAGAGATGACCAAGAAGAACAATGACACCCGATTGTATACTCCACAAAGATGAACACAAAGATAAAACTGAGCATGCTCGGCAGGTATGCACAGGGACCCAGGCAAAACTGAGCTTCTTAAAATTTCAGTTTTCTAATCATCACTATGGAGAGAACACAGCATAGTGTAGCCCATTCTCGTCAGATCTCGGAAGCTAAGGAGGGTCGGTACTTGGAAGGGTGACCACCAAGGAAAACTCTGCGGAGGAAAGCGATGGCAAATCACCTCTGCTTCTCACTCGCCTTGAAAGCCCCTTGCAGGGGTTGCCATAAATTGGCTGCAAATTGACAGCACTTTACACACATCATGTTGCAATAAAAATGAAGTCCAGTGGCACCTTAAAAGTCTAACAACATTTAGTCCAGCATGAGCTTTCATAAATCAGAGCTCACTTCATCAGATCACTCAAGAAAGCTTATGCAGGAATAAACGCCATTAGTCTTTAAGATGCAACTGGATCTCCATGTTATTTAGCTACAGCAGACTAACACAGAATCACAGCATTACAGGTAGTTTCTACATGGACAGGGGTACAGATTGCAAAGACAAGATTTGGTAGCTACGCATTGTATGCAGGAGAGCTTCCCAAAAGATGGGCAGCGACTGCACCTCTTGTTAAATGGAAGTCCTTCCTAAGCCTGCCCTTAGTTTTCTGAAGACCATCTTTGCTGCAACCAGGGCTGCAAAAGACTCAGTCTTTAGAATAGCAAGCAACACAGCAGTTTTGTGCCAGACGCCCTGAGGCAGGAAATCACAACTCTCTGCACCAAAGAAGGCTGTTTTCTTCTGCCTACAGGAGACAAAAGTCTGCAGTGAGGCAGTTCAGAGTTGTTATCTCCCATGTGGGCAAAACTCCAGGCACCCAGTGGATACGGGAGTTGGGGGGGGGGGGGGGGGACCTAGTAAATGAGTTACCCTGACCTGGATAGCCCAGGCCAGCCAGCATGGATCACCATGTCTGCTGTGACTTGACAGCCAAAAAAAGCAAACATGCTGCTGAGGAAGTTAAGAGAGCAACTGCATATACTTTGATCTTTGTTCCATCTTTCCTCAGGTATCTCACAGCACCATACGTAGGGGGGTTAGATTCTAGTTCAGTACCACCTTAGAGACCAACAAGATTTTCTGAGTATACGTTTTTGAGTTGCCATCTGACAAAAGGGAGCTTTGACTCTCAAAAACGTCTTGTTAGTCTCCAGGGCTGCAGTCACACACACTAAATATTAATCCACTTTCACTGCATTTTTAAACTGGATTTTCCTGTGTGAACTGGCAAGATCCAGTTTAAAAGTGGATTGAAAGTGGATTATTTAGTGTGTGTGTGACCACAGCCTAAATCTTGTTAGTCTCTAAGGGAGTCAACTGTCATCAACGGTTTACTATAGATGTTGCTGATGAAATTGTTATTAATTCTTATTTGTTGAGGCTATTTTACTGCTGATCATTTTTGGTTGGGAAGTTTTATAAGTTGGACTGTATATTTGTGTTTTGTTGTAACCCACCCTGAGGCTGCTTGCGGGGAGGGTGGGCTAGAAGCCTGATAATGAAATAAGGTGCTACTGGACTTGAATCAACTCTTCACTGTTAACTAAAACAGCTACCCGTTGGCACTATACATGGAGTTGGATCCAGATTAAATTTTCCACTGACGCAAGGCACTTCTGTCAGTGAAACAGAACTTTCTACCCTGTGGTTGTCAACCTCCAGGTGGTGGATGGAGATCTCCTGTGATAACAATTGATCTCCAGGTGACAGAGATCAGTTCTCCTGGAGAAAATGGCCTCTTTGGAAGGTGGATTCTATGGCATTATACCCCAGCAAAGTCCCTCCCCTCCCCAAACTCTGCCCCCCTCAAACTCCACCCCCAAAATCTCCAGGTATTCACCAACCTGGAGCTGGCAACTGTATTCTGCCCCCACCACTGCAGCCTACTGATCTCTCCGAAATACTACTCCTGGGGAATAGGGGACCCTCAAGAATGGCGTACGGGACAAACTGGGGATCTGCAGCAAGAAAGGGGAATTGCTAGAAATTACTCCACCCCCTTCTGTTAGCAGGAAATTTAATCTGGATCCAACCCATGATTCTTTCCTACCTCTCCGGCCTGGTATTCTGTGATGAGAGACAGTGATGGGATCATGGTAATCCAGTGAGCTTCAGGGCTCAGCAAAGGTATTTACCTAGTAAACAAGTTGCCCTGACTTGCATAGCCCAGTTAGGTATAGGGGTTAAGGGAACGGACTCTAATCTTGGAAAACTGTATTTGATTCTCCACTCCTCCACATGAAGCTGCTGTTGTGACCTTGGGTCAGTCACAAGTTCTCTCAGAGCTGTTCTCTCAAGGGCAGTCCTCAGCCCCACCTACCTCGCAGGGTGTCTATTGTGGGGAGGGGAAGGGAAAGGGAAAGGGATTGTAAACGCTCTGAGACTCCTTTGGGTAGTGAAGGGCAGGGTATAAATCCAATCTCTTCTACCCTAGGCCTCCACAACCTAGTGTTTTCTCTTTTCCTATGCATTCTAACCTAACCCCTTAATCCCAGTTTGTGCCTCTCCCACCCCATCTCCTACACTCTGACGTACTCTGCCTGCAGCATGACTTTCAGCACTCTCTGTATTCTCAAGAGGAGGTGGATGTGAGCTATCAGTGGAGGTGCCAAGTGCTGCTTCTGTGTTGGTTCTCGGGTAGGCCCTAACCGTGAGCACAATGCCATCTGCTGCAGCACTGCATCAAGCCTACACACCTGGATCTTCAGTGCAGCAATGACTATTCATAAAATCAGAGTCCTAGGCAACCTGCTTCATAGTACCCCACTAGCTATAAACGTCTTTTGGTTCTAATAAAAATTAATTAGTTATACCTTAAAGCGTGAGGGCTTTATTTTGTCTGTTTTGTTTAAACCGCAGTTTAACTGAAGTGCCTATGTTAAAAAAAAGCTCTTCGTCCAGGCCAAAGCATTTAAAATTTATTCCTCACACAAAGAAAGGATTTGTCTGTGTTAATTAGTGGAGAGAAACAGCAATCTTCATTAAACAGCTTAAAAATATCACTCAAAGCGAGTTGCTTTAATATTTATCCCAATCAGTTAATTAATCAATTAAACGGGTAATAACAAGACAGTAAATTGACTAAAAAGAACCTTTCAATTGGTTGGCAGCTCTAATTTTTATGGATGCTTTTAATGGACAACGCTCAGCTTCATAAACCCCTGAGAACCTGTGCAGTCACAGACACTAACATGCCACTATTCGGTCTGATCCCTAATCATAACACCCTCTACATATTCATCAAAATGGAAAATAATTAGACTGAGCCAAGTGAAATTCCCATCATTTCTAATTAGCCCTTAATTAAAACACATCACAACCTAAGGTACCGCGGCCCTACTCAATATGCAAATGCAATCATTGCAATATATTTACATATCATTAATTAACACGCTGCAGTGCCGTAATGAACTGTACGAGAGCACCGGTGCCAAAACAAGAATGATATGCAATTTGTTTAGGCTCGTTTTCCAATCCAGATTTCTCTTCTCCCCACCCCCTCCCCTTCCATGTGGCAAGAAAGCAGCAGGGCTCATATTCCTGTCTTATGATGGAACGTTTCGGAGGAAAACACATCTACTGATTAACGGAAATATGCAGAAGGCAGGCATGGGATAACCATGCTGATCCAGTCAACTGAAACAATACATTCTCTTCAGAGTTCGATGGTGGTATGGTTCAAACTAGGAGGAGGAGAGGGACAAATCTATCCACCTAGTTCATTTTAATCCTGCCCTTCCTTCAAGCAGCTCCAGGTGGGGAACTTGCTTCTCTCTTCCCGTTATAGCCTCACAACAACCCTGTGAGGTTGGTTAGGCTAAGAGCGAATAACTGGCCTATGGTCTCCCTGGCGTTAATATCCCCCCTCAACTGCTTTCTCCCATGTGAGAGTAGAAGCAGTGGGGGGGGGGCTCTTCAGATCCCTCTTCGTCAGCATAAATAGCAAGAGGGGCTTGGTTAGAGCCTTCCTTTTATTACACACTTCAGCTGCTGCTATTTCGACTGAAGAAGACAGTGTTTCAAGGGTTATAGCTCTGCCCAATGAGTCAGAGTCGCCCTTGCTCAGTTCATTACGTGGCTCTTATTAAAAAAAACTTGCCGCCAACTGGGGATGTAGAACACTCTGGTTTTATGTGACTCAGTACAACAGTGGTTATTAACAGTAGCTACTAATGCTGAAGTGCATGGGTGTGCATTTGTATTATTAGAGATACACTCATACTGCTGGAGGTAAGGAGACACATGGAACCCCTGCAGTGAGATTGCTACTAGTACTAGCTCCTGTAATACAGGATGTTTCTACTGAGTGTCCCTCGGTGTGATAGCAATATACCAATCAAGCACAATTACTGCCAAGAGGGTCAAATCGAATGGGCTCTTGCCCATCCCCACCCCTATTTCCTCCTTCAAATGCATATAACATGACCAACCACCCTTCACTCCGTGCACATATGAGTACTGGGTGAGCTGATTCATGAGTGATTCATCTCCCAGTCACCAGAACCATCTTAGGCCTCACTTCACATGCCCACAAGAATAATTCTTGCCTTAAAGAATTAATCCCCTGGAAGGTCCAAGAACTAAACTTGCAACCTGAAACCAAACTGTCTCATTGTCAGCA